TGTCTTTCATGTCTAATATTTCTGATTGATTCTTCTTTATATTTTCAATCTCTTTTGTAAAGTAGCTCCTGAACTCATTACATTGTTTCACTACATTCTCTTTTAACTCATTGAGTTTTTTGACGATAGCTAGTTTGAATTCTTTGTCATTTATATCACATATTTCTGTGTCCTCAGGACTGATTTCTGGGTACTTGTCATTTTCTCTCTGGTCTGGAGATCTAATATAATGCGTGATATTGCTATAGGGAGTGGCTCTGTTTTTTCACATCCTGGTGTTATTTTGTCACGGTTATTGTCTATCACCACTGGGTGGGGGTCAAGGGCCACATATTCTGAGCCCTCTGCCTTCAGCTGAGATCCCTGGCGCTGGAGCCACACTGGGCTGGTGGGGGAAGGGGTGCTTTCTCCTGCATACTCTCAGGGTTTTCTAGCTCTGCTCTCACTATGTGCTCTCCTGCGATTTTGGCTTGATAAGGTCACTCCCCATGAAAGCTTTCACCCCAGAAGAGGGCTTCCCTTTAGGCTGCAAAGGCGCTAGGGGATCCTTGATGTTCCCATCAATGAACGTTCCATCCTCTGTTCCTTCCCTCTCAGAGGCCACCTGTGGTCCCAGATCACAGTCTTTAGGGGAGGGAGTGAAGTTTTCTCTTACCCCTTTCCACCACTTCCAAGGGGGGCTCCAGCCTCTGCACCCTCTGTCATATGGTTGTATGGGTGTCTCCAACATTTTTGTGTTGTGTTAGGATGTCCTCTCTTGGAGTATGAATGTCCTTTTCGTTGTATGTTGGAGGGGAGAGATTACTGGAAGAACTTCCTCCACCATCATGCTGATGCCACTCCTCAAAGTACCTGGACTTTATTTTTTTAATTTTTTCTTCAGCTTTACTGAGGTATAGCTGATATACAAAGAACTGCACTTTTTTAATGTATATAATTTGATGAGTTTAGACTTATGCAAACACCCGTGATATCATTCACACAATCAAGGTAATAGACATATCCAACACCTCCCAGAGTTTCCTTTTGTCCCTTTGTTGGTTTTTGTGGTTAAAAAAAACTTAACATGAGATTTACCTCCTTAACAACTTTGAAGTGCACAATCCCATATGGTTAATTATGGGTACTATGTTTTACAGCAGATCTCTAGAACTTATTCATCTAGCATAACTGAAACTTTATACCCACTGAACAACAACTCCCCATTTCTCCCTCCCTCCATCCCTGGCAACCACTATTGTATTCTTGCTTCTATGAGTTTGACTTTCTTTTTTACCTCATTTAAGTGGAATCTTGCAGTATTTGTCCTTCTGTAACTGACTTATTTCACTTGAACAGACATTTCTCCAAAGAAGACATACAAATGGCTAAGAAGTACATGAAAAGATGCTCAACATCAATAATTATCGTGGAAATGTGAATCCAAACTGCAGTGAGCTATCACCTCACTCTTGTTAAGATGGCAATTATCAAAAACAAAACAAAATAATAGACAAGCATTAGTGAGGATGTGGAGAAATTGGAACCCTTCCATGCTGTTGGTGGGAATGTAAATGGTGGAGAACTATGGACAACAGTATAGAGGTTTCTCAAAAAGTTAAACATAGAACTGCCATATGATCCAGCAATCCCACTCCTGGTTAATATCTAAAAGAATTGAAATCAGAACCTTGATGAGATATCTGTACTCCATGTTCATTGCAGCATTATTTACAACAACCAAGATAAGGAAACAAATCAAGTGTCCATCACAGATGAATGGATAAAGAAAAAGTATAGACATACAAGTAAAGAAAAGTAAAGAAAAAGTGTAGACATACAATGGAATATTATTTACCCTTAAAAAGGAAGGAATCCTAGCCTTAATAGGAAGGAAACATGGATGGACCTGGAGGACATTATGCTAATTGAATGAGTGGACTTAAACCTTTGCTGATTAAAAGTGGCAACTGGCTAACAATTTATTCTGAAAATCAGTTTGTACTTTCAACTGACATCTTTTTTCTTTTGATACATTCTCTGAAAGATTTCTGATACTATTTTCTTTTAGATCCATCACTGGTGTATAGAAAATGACTAATTGTTTTGGGAAAGAGTTTCTCTGAACAGTTGGTCTGTCGATGCTAAGGATAATGCCTACGGATTTCTTTCATCAGAATAAATTATCTTACAATTTTATGATAGGATAATTGTGCACAATTGCCACCAAATATTGAGTGTTTACAATGCTTAGTAGAGAACACAGCTCCAACAAAGGTTTTCCAGATAAAGTATTTCTTATCCAGTTACTGACTGTTAAATTGTGTGAGCATTAGTTGTCTCTTTTTCCATAACCTTTTGAGTAGAGTTTTTGGCTTCATTTACCTGTGAATGAAACATGGTTACCATATATTTACAGAAGGGCCCTTTTAAAGCCAGTTATGAAGTTCTCACCATGTTGGTTCCTTAACACAACAACCAGTCCACATATATATATGTATGGTTTATTATAAGGAATTGGCTCATGTGATTATGGAAGCTGAGAAGTCCCACAGTCTGCCATCTGGAAGCTGGAGAACCATGAAAGCTGGTGTGGAACTGGAGAGCTGATGGTATATGTGCTAGTCCAAGGGCAGGAAAAGACTGATGGTCAGCTAATGCAATCAGGCTAAGACAGAGAATTCTCTCTTCCTCCCCCTTTTTGTTCTGTTCATGCCGTCAATGGATTGGATGATGCCCACCCACTTTGGGGAGGGCCATCTGCTTTACCTAGTTTACCAATTCACATGCTAATCTCATTTGGAAACACACTCACAGACACACCCAGAAATAATGTTTAACTAGCTAACTGGGTGCTCCATGGCCCAGTCAAACTGACATGTAAAATTAACCATTACATGTATCTTTAGGGTTTATATCACATTCTCTCCAGCAAGAACTCTGATGCTTTCCCTCCAAATTTTTATCAGCATCTCTGGCTTCTACCTACTAGATGCCAGTAGCCACCCTCCAACCCCCTCCTCACTTCTCAATCATGACAGCCAAAAATGCCTGCAGACATTGCCAAGGATCTGCTAGGGGCACAGTCTCCCCCTACTTGAGCACCGTTGGCCTAGCTCAACCCCATTCCATAGGAATGTCTCCCTTTAGAGTCTTCCAATATTTCTTACCACTGAGTTCCTTGAAGTGAATTAAGTGCTCTTCAGTCAATCTTTAATTATCAAAATGAAAAACACACCAATAACTGTGGATTATTCCATAGGAATAATGACAGAGTTAAACTTCTTTCTGTTCCTCTCACATAATTTCCAGGTCTTTGTAAAGGAAATCAGATGTTATTGTCTAGATTAGTGGTTCCCAAATTTGTACGCACATTAGAATCTTCCGATGATTTTTAAAAACTCCTAAGACCAGGTGACACCCCGGAAAATAAAAGCAGACTCTCTGAGGGTGACACATAGGTATCACTAACTTTTGGCATTCCCCAGGTAATTCCAATGTGCAGGTGCATTTGGAAACTGCCAGTCTAGATTTTTGCTAAATTGGGGGACTAATGTATTATAGTTAATTAGCATCACATTTGTTGTAATCCTGAATGTACTTCTTACAAAATTCCCATATCATCTTGGGTACATAATGTCATCTAACTCTGTTTTTTTTCTCTATGTATTTGGGCTATAATATACAACTCCTATGATGACTTCTGTGAATCCCAAGATACAGTGAGTAGCATCTAAAAGGTATATAATCAACAGTAGTTACTACAATAATTATTTTTCCCACTTAATCCTCTTCAAAAATTACATTGAGTCCATTCTTTCAATTACAATCACATTTTCAACAATTGTCTAGAAAGCTGAACCAATAATTCAATCAGTGGCTCATCATTAGGAACAATTTTCTATTCATTATTCTAATCTCTATCTTGGTAAATTGGAATATATTTTGAAGCAATTTTTTTTTTTTTCAGAAAAGCTATGTGTATGATATATACTGTGCATATACCATTGTGTGCCTGAGAATATCCTTCTGTTGCCTTCACACTTGGGGAAAATCTTGTTGGGTGGAATTCTTAGGTCACCAGTACTAACTAGCCCCTCAGCATGCATGGCTTTCACTTGCTCTTTCACCATTTGGTGTTCCAGAGAAGCTTGAGACCAGCCCAGTCTACCTTCTTTTCTGTGTTACCTGCTTTGTTTTCCAGGGTAGTTATAGATGTTATTTCACTTTTATTTAAATTATGATGGCACAGCATGTCTCAGTTTGGTTCTATTTTTATTAACTTTGCCTGAAACCCCAGTGAACCCATTCAAACTGGAATCATGTTGTTTTCTCACTTTAGTAAAGTTTTCTTTTGTCACAAACCTTGGCTATTATTTCTGCCCCACTTGCTTTCAAATCATCTTCAAAAACACTAATTATAAGTTGATTCTTTTCTTTGTCATTTATAATTTTAATCTCTTTCCATTTAAATCTATTTTTCTACATTCTGGGAAAATGTCCCATGTTTTTACATGCCAGAAAATTGATTATTTTTTCGTGTCAGCTCCATTCCTTAATAACTTCAATGCAAATTTAAATTTAGTCATTGAGCTTGGGGTTTCTGGTTTTTTCTTCTTTTTAAAGTCATATCTGTGTTCATCTTATCCTGTGTCTTCTTATACTCCATGAATGCCTTTATATTTGCAATACTGAAAGAATAAAATGAACCCCCAAATTATCATTTCAAAATAATCCCAATTCCTCAAAAAGCTGATTGTGTACCAGGAAGATCTAGAACATTATCCAAAATGATAAAATTATAAAATGATAAAAATTTCTCTTTAGGAAAAAAATCACTTACCTTTTAAATGTTTCTCTTTTCAAAGTTAAGGTACAGGTAAACCTAGAGATTTCTGTATCTTACATGTACTTCTCTGAAATGTATTTCCTTGCTATGAACCACTTACACTTCTATAGATAACTCACACAAAATTAGAAAAACATTTTGAAGGACTATATTTGTCTCTGCCTTGAAATAGGTTTGTATCTCACACCCGATTAACCCATGCTGTGAGGAAGAGAAAGCAGAAGGTTGAGTTGGAGACGGGATCATACCTAAGCAAAACCTGCCAAAGGCTCAACACCTCTCAGTGTCCGAATCTTCCCTGTAGAAGGTGAGTGTTCAATCCATAATTGTACATTGGGTCAGTACACCCAGTGTAACCCTTCAGGTATTGAGCTCCTTCTTCCAAGCAGCCTACGAGCCTCGAGGGATGGAGTGATTAGGAATAAGGCTTGCCTGAGGAAGGATGGTGGTAGATGGAGGCTTGTGGGTGAAGAATATGGAAGATTTTGCATATGACTGTGAGAGATGGTAATGTGATTATCTAAATGGAATTTAAAGAACACACAAGTCCTATAGCAAAAGGGATGAATCATGGGGGACAGAGACTAGGTCATAGAAATAATACTTTTTCAGGAAAATAGATAACTTCCATTTTGTGATTGCTGGATACTTTGCACCCATTGTTTTGCTTAATTGTCCTAACACTTTTATGCAGGGGATAGGAAGGGAGTAAGTGTTCAGAGTCCGGGTTTGGGAAGACAGACCTGACTATAACCATCCAAGCAGTATTCCTGACAAGTCACTTAACCAACCTGTACCTCCATTTCTTCATTTGCAGATGGGGGCAACATGAGTGCCTACAACACGTGGTTGTCATACAGGTGGAAAGAATTCATGCATTTTAAGCATTTAACACACGGCCCAGCAGTCAGAAAAGACTGTGAGTTTTGTTAAATAAAATCATTCCGATTGCATCAATTTGGAAATTTCAGTTGGGGGAATGTGGTTAAGGAATGTGTGCAGTTTTATAAATCAAGGTCATAGAAGAACCATAAGTGTTCTGGATCTTGAGGTAGGAGATGGGAACAGACAAAGAATAAAATTTGCTTGGGGAGAAAAGAAATAGCTGGATTTAGAGAAGAGCCATCTGAAGCCTGGCTGGTATTCCTTCCAAAAAGTATAGTTTCTCCTCCACTCTCCCTCTCTTTAACCTTGGCTCAAAAATCCCAGAAAAGCTTGACTTTTGCTTTAATCATGGAGGACAGAATAAGGGAGTGAATGATGTGTTGCCTAAATAGGTCCACATTCCACAGCCCTTCACAGTCCTCACAAGGTGGTTTAAATTTGGAAACCATAAGGTTTCATGAGACCACCTGTTTCCCACCTTCAGCAGGAAATATAGTTTAATCTTGCTTTCTTTAAGAAAATTAGCATGCTTATGTTTGTCACACTTAAAGTGGCATATGGGGCTGCAGATGCTAATGAGCCATCATGATTTCACCTGGTCACTAGATGAGCGAGAACAAAATCACCTCCTGACAACAGGCTAGAAAGCAGACAGTGTAAATTGGCACTTTCTTTTCCAGTCCCCCTGCCCTAGCGTATTTGAAAGGCTCAGACCCACATCTTATTTCTTTTGTGGTTTTTATATGATTTTGAACCAAAATAGGCAGCTAATGCAAACGTAATACACTGTGAAGACACTTGGCCACAGAGACAGAGGTGAGCTAAGCAGAGATCCAGCATCATTTCTCAGATCTATACAGATGCAGGCCTCATGTTTGTTTTTTTCCCTCCAGAGGTACCACTCCCTTGCTGGAGGATTTTCCTTTGAAGGAAAGCTGTGAGGATGAAGGGGTGAGAGACAGGTCATTGTATCCCCGTGGGCAGTTCATGCATCTAAAGATTTGCTGCTTATTGGGGTGAGAGGGCTTTGGAATCATGTCAAAACAAAGTATATCTCCTGTTGGTTTGAAACAATTATGTTTCCAAGCTCCTCTGTGCAGTCAAATAACAAAGCCAAGTGCCACTGCTTTTCGGCTCTACCAACACTGTTCTGATTCTAGACCATCTGGGGGATGGCACTTACCTGGTGCTTGTCGGGGAAGGCTCGACAAAGTGGCCATGCCTGAGTGGGAGACCCCTGACAAAAAGCACTTCTGAGTATAGCAGACCTTTTCAATGCAGACATTCTGCTTGGCTTTTCATGCATGTCCACTGGTGAATCTTCGCAGTTACCCTGTGAGGTGGACATTAACACATCCATTTTACAAAGGAGAACACCGGGCCTGAGTGATTGAGTCGATCGCCACAGCGATAAGAGGTGGGACCAAGAATAAAACCAAGTCTGTCTGATGTGAAAACTTACACTCTTATATTTCAACACATAGCTGGCCTCAGTAGGCAGGAAAGGAAAGGAGTGAGAGAGCCGGAGCATGGGGTCCAGCTCTGGTTTTCTCTGCTCTGTTAGGTGCATGATGTGCTGTCCTGGAGGTGTGCCTTGCTGCATGGTGGCACATGCTACTGGGCTAAACGGAGTAGGAATCAACTTCTCACCTCATCTCAGGACCATAAGCTAAGGGAATGGACATGCTTTGTTTCTCCTAGAAATGGGCATTGCCATGGATTTCAAATCAAGATGGAGACATTTTAGGCAGTGTCTTTCTTTATGTTAGATGAATAAGCAATATAATGGTTAATGTTTTTGTTCTTTTATGGTGAATTCCTTTGACTGTGTAAAGTGCTTCAAAGGCAGGGACTTGGGGGCAATAACGTTTATTTGAAGGACAAGGCAGATAACTGGATTAGGAATTGTACCTGTCATTCTTCAAAGGGTACCATTGGTTAAGCCAAGATTGACTAGCATTTTTTCAGTTCCAAATTCAAATGAGTGTGGACTGACCGGCACTATTAGGGCATGGTCAGTGAATGGCCGTCCTGTTGAGCTGATGGTTTTGGTGCTAACTCCTGTATCTGTGCCTTTGGTTACACATGAATCTTTCTCCCTTGCAACATCACACATCTTCACAAACCATTCCAGCATTGTCCCCCTCTAAGTCATTTCACCTGAGTAATATTGTGTGGAATGGTGGTAATTTTTGTCACTCTGTCAAAGTGATAAAAACAGCATAGGTGCATTTTCCCTCTGAAGGGCAAGGTTTGTGCATGATAATATTATTTTTCTCATTTTCCCTTTTGAGTATCATGAGTTACAGATTTGTGTGTTATTCAGCTGTACTAACAGCTAGAAGAGGCTCTCAACGTGCATGGTAGGCATGGATTTCCCTAAGAAATGCCCTTGGTTTTTTTTTTTTTTAAAGCATTTCATCCTTGTCATTCTCTTGTGACCGCACTTATCCAACTAATGTATTGGTATGTTCATAAATAGGATGTGATAGCAGAATGGTGAAAGAACATTTGCTGGTTTTGAGCCTCATAAATGGAGAAATGAACCTACTTAATCCTTTTCCAGTCTTCCTCTGGTCTTTCCTTCTATGGTGCAGTTGTTTTATTTATTAACTGAATGTGTGATGTTGTATTTTCTATGAAAAATTAAATACTATGGTATATTTATAGAATAGTATATTTCTAAGTATTTTATCTCAACAGTAGAGTCCTCAGTTAAGTTTTTAACATAGGGCTGTAATACTCAGCTCAAGAGCAACTGTACAAGAAACAATAAGAGAATAAAAAAATGCATCTGAGTAAGAGCATTGCACAAAACGTGCAATGACCTGAACTGTTGCCTGGCACCGGAGCGCGCACGTTCCGCAGACAGACACTTCACGTGCTGCGGCTGGGAAACCGGACCCTTCCTGTCACTGGGAGAGGAGGTCAAATAAAGAAATTGCTCTCAGACACAGCAGAACAGATTACAAAACGAAATATCTATATCTGCAGCGGCCTTTTGAATCCGGGATCAAAAGGAGGGCTTGTCTGTTCTTTCCCAAGTTTTACTTGCCTACATTATCAGGGGTAGCTGCAAGCTAGATAGCACCCGCCTGCTATCAGCAGCAGTGAGAACTGGAAAAAACACCCAATAGACTTCCTTCCCAATAAAAGAAGATTTTATCATTGTAGGAAACCGCACTTTAATTCTGCTCGTGTAGACAATTATTTTTGAAGGGGTAAATAGTTTTGAATAATTGATGTCATTTGAATTTTTCCTCCAACTTCTTTTGTTTAATTATCAAAAGCCACCCTGGGTAAAGGTAAAATAAATCAGTACATAGATGAATATTAAAAAAATATTAAAGGAGAGGGTGAAGTTCCAACAGAATTGAAAGAAGAAACATTGGACGTGAATATTCTTGTTTCAGAAAAGGACCGACTCAGTTTCACAGAGTCATGGGGGCACCTTCCATTATTTGGCAGGAGTTAACCTCCTCGCGTCTCCCTGACTTAGCGTGCAACAGCCCTGATCCCCTGCTGCTTGGAGGTCCTGCTTGGTCTCTGTTCCAAGGACATGATTTCCTTCTTTGGGAGTTTGGCTTATCATTCTTCAGTTTTCACCTTTTGTGTTTTCTCTCTCAGTCCATGTTAAAAGCAAAAAAGAGATCTCAAAGTGTGAGTTTAAAATTTCATCTAGAGGGGCTGGCCCCGTGGCCGAGTGGTTAAGTTTGCACGCTCTTCTTCGGGGACCCAGGGCTTTGTTGGTTTGGATCCTGCACGCGGACATGGCACCACTCATCAGGCCACGCTGAGGCGGTGTCCCACATGCCACAACTAGGACTCACAACTAAAATATACAACTATGAACTGGGGGAATTTGGGGAGAAAAAGCAGAAAAAAAAAAAAAAAGATTGGCAATGGTTGTTAGCTCAGGTGCCAATCTTAAAAAAAAAAAAATTTTACTAAAAGAAAAAAATTTCGTCTAGAATAGGAGGTGCTATGGACTGAATTGTGCACCCCCAAAATTCATAGTTTGGAGCTCTAACCCCCAGTGTGATGGTATTTGAAGATGGGGCCATTGGGGCGTGATAAGGTTTAGATGAGGTCATGAGGATGAGCCTTCATGATGGGATTAATGTCCTTATAAGAAGAGGAACAGATGCCAGAGCTTCCTCTCTCCACCACACAAGGACACAGCAAGAAGGCAGCAGTCTGCAAGCCAGGAAGAGGGCCCTCACCAGAACTCAGCTGCCATGGACTGAATATTTCTGTCCCTCCAAAATTCCTATGTTAAATCCTGATTCCCAGTGTGATTGTATTTGAAGGTGTGGCCTGTGGGAGGTGATTAGGGCATGAGGGTGGGGCCCTCTTGACTGCATTTAGTGCCCTTATGAAAGAGACCTCCCAGAGCTCCCTCTTCCCTTCTGCCATGTGAGGACACAGCAACAAGACTGCCATCTGTGAACCAGGAACCAGACTCTCACCATACACTGAATCTGCTGACACGTTGTTCTTGGACTTCCCAGCCTCTAGAATCATGAGAAATAAATTGCTGTAGTTTATAAGCCACCCAGTCTATGCTATATTGTTGTAGCAGCCTGAATTGTCTAAGACTTCAGCCGTGCTGGCACCCTGATCTCGGACTTCCAGCCTCCAGAACTGTGAGAAAACAAGTTTCTATTGTTGAGTCTAGGATATTTGGTGAAGACAGAAAGCAACAAGAGACACGATCCCTCCACCAAATAAGCCAGATAACTGCATCTGAGTGAGCCAGTGTAGGCTGGATCAGAGGACTTGATATCAATATGTATAAATGCATGTTTGTGCCTATAATAACATGTAAATTTAATTGAAATATTTGATGGTCCATATTTTGCTGAATACATTACCAGAATCAGATTTCTAATCTAGAATCATTCCTTGACCTTTTAACCTGTATATGCCAGAGTTCTAATATCTTCAAATTGAGGATAATGCATAATAAGGATAACATTTCCTAATACATATTATCACCTTAGAAGCTTCTGGAACAAGGCAGGCTGTAGATAT